TGACATGTTTGCGAAGTGCAAACCGCGATTTTTTAATCAAACAAAAATTTATGACATTCGAGCCGCGAGATTTCATACCTACTGAAATTATATGATATTAGAGCCGCGATATTTCAGACAAAAATAGGACTTTTCCAGACTAGGTGGGCAAGGAGCTGGGATTGAACCTGCAAGGCTGTGCCTCTCTGCACCAATCCTGGTACTCTGAACCTGGACCACTGGGCCACTCCAGTGGTCAGTTCCAGACTTCCAGTGGTGAGTGGTTAAATATTCTAAATGTATTGAAATTTGTGACCTTGGAGCTTGGACCACACAATCCTAACAATATGTAAGAAAATTCCAAATATACTGCAAGGTGAACTTTTTTGACACCAAAAATCTGCTGTCTTCTTACTTCTAATAGAACTTGTAAAATTAATAGCTACAAGTACAAGACTCATAAACAATAGAATTTGAATAGATATATATTATTATTATATAGCTATGTAGATTGTAGAGTAGATATAATGGACTGCAAGCAAATATAGTTTGGTTTCATCCAGTGATAATCAGCACGAGCCGGCGAGCAGCACTGCAGCAGCCTGCAGAGCAGATCAGCGAAAGAGCAACTACCTATCACACAATCACATTATCACAGTAGCTAGTTGTACCCTACTAGTAGGTACTAGGTAGTAGCAAAGTAACTCACGCAATAACGGTAATGTCTTTTTTTCGATGTTAACGAAGACGGACAGGAGAAACCTACGGGGTTGCGGAATGACGATCTACTGAAAAGAAAACTATACTGTGTAATCAGCCATAAAATTCAGTCGGATTTCTTTCAATAAATAGTTATTAAGTTGTTACATAAACTTTTGAAAATATTTTTAACAAAATTAAAAAGCTAAGAAACAAGTATCTCTCTAATTTTTTAATGTCTGCCGACAACTTTGACCTGTTGCCAACGGCGTAGACAATCACTAAAAACTCACTAAGTAATGCTTCTAATATTAACTATTGACTTTTGTGTTCATATTAGTCTTAAAATGAGTCAATTTAGCTAAAATTAAAATTTATTGTTAATATGTATCAAGCATCTCATGCAGATCAATTTTTGTTTGAGTGACTCCTAAAAACCTGTCCGGCGATCACTCCACTCATAAGTGCCGATGGGCATGAGCATGGTTGAACTATTACTAATATAAGGTTGACCGACGTCGATGACGATTTTTCGGGAGCGCAGCCGTGCACCACCAATTTTGTGCACCAATAAGCCCTGAATCGAACGCATTGGATCTCTCCGGATATCCACTAATCAGCCGTGCACCACTCGGCTTTGTCCTTCTCTGGCCTTGACCACCACCTGCCGTGCACCACCAGGCCGCGGATCGAATCTGACTTCCGGGCATCGTTAAATTACGTAATTTTACGTTCACCGCATCTAAGGTTAGGTTTCAGATAGCATAGTTCTGTTCCAAAATTTATCGTCCTTCGACCAGTGGCCGTTCGACCGAGGGCTGGTTCGACCCACGGCCTAGATACGGACGGCTTGAAGTGTTGAAGGCTCCGTTCCGGAAGGCAGGAATCATGATGGTCCATTACATCCAGGGCAGTGGTGGTACTATACTATACTATACTATACTATACTATACTATGTGACTCAAAGGATGTTCGGAGGTCAGGATTTGTTGGTGTCAGGGGGATGAGTTCAAGGAATGATGTGCCTCGGGCAATACTCAACCACTTGGTGATAAAATTGTCGGAAGTGCCCACGTAGACCTCCACAATGTTCAATTTAGAAAAATTTCAAATTTACGCACTCTATGGCTAGATATAAATGGATTTAATACTGCTGGGGAGATAACCGACTCAAGGTACTCCGTTGCATAAGGCCATGAATATGGATTGAATTTTGCGTTACAAGCATGACGACAGCATGCGTTTAAGGAAGCAACATATTCAATGGACTAGGCTGTACTGGAGGTCAGAGGTTGCGTGAAGAAGGGCGTTGTTGACAATACCAAACGCGATATCGGACGATACCATCCGGGTAGGAGATCGTCGGGAGCAAATGACAGTCGAGGTCTAGTGCGAGAGCGCGAAGACGGTATTAAGTGAGATAACAGAGTTGGTAACTACTACTAATCGACTAAACGAGGGCGTCAGAGTCACTCAGATAGTCTGAACATAGGAGAGAGATATATGTATGGGGCGGCATGAGGCAGCCTCGGTCTTTGGGTTTTCCAAGCTTGGAGATAGGGATAATGAGAAAATTTAGAGGCCTTGGAGATAGGTGTGTTGGCGAGGTGGGCAAGAAGAGGAAGACAGCTAGGGCCCAGTGGTTTTTGATTGACTGCAAGGCTGATTAAGTAGCAAACGAGAGCGCTTCTCAAATTGAGAACATAAACCATTCCAATGCTTGGTAGGGTGCGTGTATCGGTCGCCAGCGGAGTAGGTCTTCCTGGTACAGGACAGACCCAGAGGACATGGACTTCTCCTTTTTGATGGTAGGAAGTCCGGGCGTTTCCTGGAAGTCATTCGACCCAATGACACCTGACATTACACCTCCACACGAGCAGGTAATACGGACAACTGAAGTACAGCTGTGAATGCAAACCCAAAGGCGCTCTAATAAACGTTTTGAAGGTTGACCCTATGAGGACCTGGAGAAGAAACGGCAACAGAAAGCATTTTGGAATCGGAGCTGAGAGATCGTAGGAATTCGGAGAAACTCAAGAGGTCAAATCTGTTTAGAGAATTTAGAGAAGGAAGTGAGTGCTGGTGTTTGTTAAGTATGGGGAAGAAAAAGGTCGGTAAGTCGGGAGACGATTCGTATATGTCGTCGTATAGGATTTCAACGGCAAAGGTTAAAAATGGGTTTGTCGACGTTTAAATTCATGACCGTGGCTTGCTGGTCGGATTTGCTCGAGATGGCTAGAGCGTTCCCAGAGGACAGAAATTCTTACCATACCAATTCAGAATCTCAGCATGATTCACTCTGCAGCCTTGACTTGACGTGATTATTCATACTTCTTTCTTTTAATATAACTAGGGAAATGGAATTGTCAGGTTAATTAGCTGATCTGAGTTTATATAAATTGGTCTATTTTACGTCTGTCATACTGCATGGTAATGCGTAATATTTCTGACGTATAACGTATTTGACCGTGCCGCTTGTACATTTCCTATCATAGAAATACGTGCAAACTGATCATAGAAAAGTGTTTTTTTTTTAAGTAAAAAGCACTGTTTCTTCACGCGAAAAAACAATTGAAAGTATTATATCAATGCAAAGAACGGAATATGCAGGACGTAAGTCTGTAGTGACTCGAATTCACATCTCGCACTAGCATTTCTCTCGAATGCCACAATTAATTTTATTAAACCTTTAAACTCGTGATTATCGACCTCTGTAACAATATCTTACTTAATGATCATGATTTCGATTACGTATTTCGGATTTCATCAATTTCACTTTAAACCATTATAAAATATACAGTAATTAATGATCAATTTTCGAGTACGAATAACACTCTTGTAATAACGGAATGATGAAGTTTAGTAAATGTCGAAAATATTTTGTTAAATCGTACCAAAAAGAATATTGTGAAAATTTCGTAAGAACGCCAGTGGAGAACCATCTGCCAATCGCGCATTGTTTAGCTAAGTCATTTTCTAGACGAGATGCCTATATACTACGAACAATAGGGAGAGGATGAACTTGTATATCTCAATTCACCATACTTAAACAAGCCCTACAGTCTTCTCCCTAAAGTGGATAGTCTCCCTAACAGTATCCACTTTACTACTGTTGAGTTTCAGTTTGGGGGTAAGGCAGCTATTAGACATTTCTAGTGTTATGATTCTGTTATGGCCGTTAGAATTCTGGGTGTTGAAATAATTTTTGATTGGGCCCTAGGGGTTTTTTCTTCCGGGGTGTTGGTCGGCAAGGTTGGATTTTATTTCACAGTAAGAAGTTGGTTCACAGATCACAGTTGGGTGTTCATAGCATAGGGGTCACCACTTTAGGGAGATGGCTGCAGGGTTGTTTAGGGAGATTTAGGGTTTTGACAGACTACTGTTACTTTACTAGTAACAGTACTTCTCCCTAAAGTCTCCCTAACAATAGGGAGAGGATGAACTTGTATATCTCAATTCACCATACTTAAACAAGCCCTACAGTCTTCTCCCTAAAGTGGTGACCCCTATGCTATGAACACCCAACTGTGATCTGTGAACCAACTTCTCACTGTGAAATAAAATCCAACCTTGCCGACCAACACCCCGGAAGAAAAAACCCCTAGGGCCCAATCAAAAATTATTTCAACACCCAGAATNGTTTGAACGTTTCAGCGTTACATGTTTGAACGTTTCAACATTACCTGATTGAACGTTTCAACGTCACATGTTTGAACGTTTCAACGTTACATGTTTGAACGTTTCAACGATACATGTTTGAACACTTCAACGTTACATGTTTGAACGTCTCAACGTTTCATGTTTGAACGTTTCAACGCTACATGTTTGAACGTTTCAACGCTACATGTTTGAACGTTTCAACGTTACATGTTTGAACGTTTCAACGCTACATGTTTGAACGTTTCAACCTTACATGTTGAACGCTTCAACGTTACATGTTTGAACGTCTCAACGTTTCATGTTTGAACGTTTCAACGCTACATGTTTGAACGTTTCAACGTTACATGTTTGAACGTTTCAACGTTACATGTTTGAACGTTTTAACATTACATGTTCGAACGTTTCAACGTTACAAGTTTAAACGTTTCAACGTTACATGTTTGAACGATTGATCGCAGTATCGATCGTTTGAACTAATCTTCATAACCTGTAATTAAGACTGTCATTTTAAATCAAGAACATAAATGAACATGGCCGCATTAAATAAAATAATTGTTCAGTCTTAAAATGCCTAGCAACTTACGGACCAGGCAATAAGTCCAGCAGCTATCTCAATCAATCGTCAGTTATGGAAAAATCGGGTTCCAAAGGGCGGATCTATTGTGAATCAAGTCACGAAAAGTACAAGAATCGGCTACAGGCCATGGGTCTATTTCTTCAGTGCCGATACTATTCTCCTATTCTTATACCACAGGATAATGATTACTAAATTAATAATTAATTACTCAAATAACGCACCAAATCTTACACCTGTTTTGACGATCCAGATGGTGGTGGTGATGGCGGTGATGGTGCTGCTGTGTGCGGGGCGCAGTCTCCCCGACAGCCCCTACGCCCCCCACCAAACAATAGGGAGAGGATGAACTTGTATATCTCAATTCACCATACTTAAACAAGCCCTACAGTCTTCTCCCTAAAAGTCAAAATAGAAAAAGTTTCGATTCAATGCCATCGAGAACCGAGTCAGATTCGATTCCTGTGCAATATGGCATCACTTAATTAATTAGCATAGCATAGTGAAGTCGGCGCTGAAGAGTAGGCCTGATGTGGCCTGTCGCTGATTTTTGTACTTTTGGTGACTTGTACACAGGAGATCTAAAAACAGGTCCTTCAACGGGATCTTTTCCAAACTGTCGAAAATTTAAAATAGCTACTAGACTTCCTCCGGGTCTGACATAGTGCTAGGCATTTCAAGTCTGAACATATATTTCTCCATAGCTTTGTCTAGTCTGTTCTTGGACGAGTTTGTACTTGGAGTAAAGAAAGAATAATGAATCTAGAAAAAGAGCATGAATCAGAGTAAATGAAGCCAGGTTTTCATCCCATTACTCTCAAAAAACT